AATGCTGTGAATTGATTTTTGGACTAATATAATCTTCAGCATATAAAAAATTTCACTCAAATATTTCTCAAATAATTTCTAATTCCGTAAAAAATCATTAATAAAAACGAAAAAATCACTCATATTCAAAATTCAATGTTTATTAATTAATGGTGTTGTTATTATTACCACACTGCCTCGAGTAGTGAGTAGAAGGAATAGAATAAAAAAAAATGTGTCGGGTCCTAGCTGTCGTTGACGCTTCTCCGCCAACAATAAAGAGTAGAAATTATTAGAAATCCTAATGTACTAACCGTAACGAACTAACCGGCCTCTGTAGATCTATGGCCAGAGGCTGAGATCATTCAAGGAACACCTCGAAGAACTCTGCCCTTCACTGGACGCATCTGTCAAACGACCGAGACGCGAATCCATCACAACTGTTGACACCATCGCACACGATCTTGATAATCTCAACAGGAGATACACAACACTCGTCAGCCTCTGCCAAGAGCGCCTTCAAAAACTAGTCCAACAATATCCTGATGATCTGGCGTTGCAGGTAAGTCTCTTTCATATTAATCGCATGATAATTTCGATTCGCGTAATTGCAATTAAAATCTTCCCCAGAAGAAAAAAAAATCCGCGCATAAAAATGGAGAGAATGAAAAAAAAATCTTTTATTGATTTTAATTCGTTGTTCCATTCATGTATTTTTATTTTTAATTGAAACTGAATTTTTTATAATTATGGGAATAGATTTCTGAATCAAGAATTTTTTTTTCTGTGAAGAAAAATTTTTTCTTTGGAATTTTCGGCTGTTTGGTTTTTATCGAATCGATTGGAGAACATCATTTCAGTTTCGAATTTTTGTATAAAGGAATATCGGTTTGTGTGTAATATAATTGTATATTTAATTGAATTATGAGATTTTTGCGAAAGCTAGGTGCGTTCGAAAATTATCCCAACCACTCTGACACAAGGGAGCGTCAAAAGCGTTGTAAATACCGTTGTAGTACACAAATAGCTTGAATTACCTTCAAAAGCAATCTAAACTTCCTAGGAAAATTGGGTAAATCGTAGTTACTAAAGCTCTCGATAACGATCATCCACCAAAAAGTTGTACAAATCACGCAATACCACGTCCCAATGCACTACTAAAAAAAATTGACCCTCCACTGAAAAAAATGACATGACATTGAACGTAGGAAAAATTGAAATTTCATTGCATTTTAATTGAAATTTATTTCATACTTACAAAAATCATGGGGAATTTCGGAATTGGAAACGAAAAATGATAAAATAAATTTAATGGTAACCGTAAGGTTCCGTTTAATTCTTCAAAATATACCCTTGAATTAATTTGATCAGCCATATATTCAATCAAATTAAATTAATGAAATTAAATTTCCAATTTGGAAATTCTCTCGAATTTTTGAATAGGTAGTCCGAGTCCCAAATTGTAACATATGACTGAAAATTCATGTCAGTAGACCTCACAGCTCGCAACACCTTTAGCACTATTCAAATAATCACTAAATTTACACAAGCCGACAAAAACCTAGTGTTCATGCGCTCCTTGAGAACCGGTTTGACCCCCAAAATTGCTCTAGCACATCCGTGCGAACAGGCGCCGCGTAAAAAAAAAAACCGCGAGAACGAAGAAAAATTCATATGCTCAATGCCAGTCGCAATAACTCCCACATGACATCACTGAAATTTCTGAACAGTGAGTGACGCCATTCAATTCAACTTCACCAATGTTTCCAGTTGATAATGTATCTCCGATATTTCTCTAAAGACTTCTTAAGCGAAAGATAAGACTGTGTCATTATAAATCAACCGAGAGATTAATGCAGCCAGTTTTTTTCTGCATTAACGAGCTCTCGTTTTGTTATTACTTAACGATAATAACATGTACACCTGAATTATCGTCAATCATCCATCGAGATTGAATAACTGGTGATAAGGGCTAATCATGTGCAGAAATTACATGGATATCAATCGGGCAATTGTTTGATTATTCCATTCGACTTTTCCCTCTACATAAAAAATGATCCAAGAAAAAATTCGACGTTAAAATTTCTAAAGTAATATTTTTCCAATAAAATATATTTGAATCAACTAAATGACGGAAATGAATACATAAAATTCTCATTATCATCTCAATATTTTAATTGTCGTTTAGTTAGCTTTTTAATTAGCTTTTTAATTGGGATTTCAATTTATATTTCTACCCGCGTCGTAAGAAATGTTTTTCTTCTATGCAGGATCAATAATTGAACACTAGGTGAAGTACGCGTGGGTTCAAGTGTCCTTGTCATTTTTTTTTATTCAAGATTTTTTTTTATCTGACTGCTATAAATGTCTTTCTCGAGTGGGTTGACGAATGTTTACGTGCTGTCAGAATCGAATGATCGCTTGGCGAATAGGAAAGGATTCGATCAATCGATTTTTTAAATAACTCAAGAAATCGGGAGATAATGGGTATGACCAATTATTCATGCAATTAGGTTTCCATAAATATTCAATTTGATCAGCGAATTTATCAATTGCTGCAGTTCGGTCTTAATTGGCTTAATTAGTTACGCTTCATAATTCATCGACATATTTCTTTATCTTATCAATGGCCTTTGTCCGTAAAAACGTCATGTCTATTTGCGAATGTCCGGAATACTTTAATTCCTGTGGTGTCGCTGCTTTTCTGCATTGGTACCTTTGGAAAAAATTCTAGTCCTTTGAATATTTTTTTCCCGCGGATGTCAGAGCTTTTCTGAATATTTTGCGATTATTTTTTCAATCAAAGTTTTCGAATTTCACTCGTAATTCTTTCTTTCAATTTTTGCTTCTTAAATCTCATCACAATTACGGAATCTAAATTTAATTATTTAATTGCAATCCCCGGATATTACAAACGGATATTTCCATTCTCTGCGCAAGTCGAGCGATCCTAAACCTAATATAAAACAACCCGAATAATTTAATTTATTTCGCAAAATCATGAAAAACGGAAACAAATTTCCCTCGCGGAAATAATTTTACTTCCCTCCGCGATTGGTTACGTAGTAAACCGAAATCCGTTTCATTCATAAAAATCTCTCGATTATTCATTCGGAGAAATAATAATAAAAAAAATAAGTCTGTGGATAGTCTAGTGTGGCGATCGTTGTCGAGAGACTTCAGTCCCTGGTGCGACGTCGTAGAGCTAGCATCGTCGGTTCGATTGCGTCAAAGGCGTTTCCTCAAACTACATGTGCACGTTTTCACCGCTGAATTTTCCCAATTTTCCCGACTCCCCGAGTTATCAAGTGCAATAAATGAAACTAGGAGAATCGATTTTACGGTGCATCGACGTACGTCAACGTGACGAAGTATTTTTTATTGATACGACCCTTTATCGTCGCTGCCATAAGGTTTTACCCGGGTTCAGTGTCATGTGATTAATTTATTTAAGGAGGATTTTTTATAATTATTATGTTGCCGCAGAGGAGAGTTGTGAGGAAGGTAATAATTTTTTTTTATCCATTTTTAATGGCTCGTTTATTATTCCCGTGGTACACCGTATGTTCGCGTTATCGGCTCTAATCGATAAGCGTCAATCGCGATCAATTTGTGATAATGCGATGGAGGGGAATTCGATTGGGAATTTTGACGGTTTTAAGATGTTGACGGATTTCTTTTTATTTTTTTTAGTGACGCCTCAGATTTTGTTTTGAAATAATCCGGGGGATTTCACGTCTCTCTGGCAAATACCGGTTTTTAATGGCGGAAAACGGAAATTTTATTATTGTAATATAACAGATTGGAGAAATTTATTCCATGAATTTTTTAGTCCGCGTGAATATTAATTGCGGAATTTCGAGTGATTTTCGAATTCCGTGACAATTGAGACTGGAACTTAATTAATGAATTCTATTATAATTCTTAATTAATTTCACGTAATGGCTGGACCGAAGTTCATAAATCTAGAATGATTTAATTAAAACTCTGAGTTTTATGGATTTATGCGCGATATTACGGGTTGTTGAGGAAATTGATGAAAAATTATTTGAGAGATTATTACTGGGAGTCACAGGGGATATTTTAGAAAAGTGTTCAAGGTCCGGTGGAATTCCATTCAATTCGAACATGAACACGTGTCAATTGACAATTCGTTCAATAATCGTGGGGCTCTTGACCCGTGTATGTTATTCATTAAACAAACATGAGGCATGATTTCTTAAAATAAATTGAGTGGTTCACGGGAGCACGTGATTTACGCCACCGAATCCTCCCACACGTGCAATAATAATTATAATTCCAATCTGATCGTTGCACAGAGCAAATAGTTTTCGTACTCTCAAGAATAATTCTGCGATTCCCAAAATTCTCCGCCCTAATGATTTTTAAACAATTGAATTAAATATAGAGAATTTCATTATTTTTGTAATTCCGCAAGAATATTTAAATGTTGACTACACGATCGGAATAAAATATTCCGAGTAAATACGCAATTAGAAAATGATCGATTGGATTTTCCTATAATTTTTTTAATTACAGTAATTACAAATTACAGAACTCTCGCGTAATTATCGAATTTACGGTGCGAGAATCGATTTCAATCGAATACCGGAAGTTTCCGAATTTCACTGGTCAGTTATAAAAGTCAAGCCTTTAGCTAATAATTATTTTCGTAATCTAGGTAAACGACAGATTTAAATAGTATTCCCACGATTTTCGCAACACCTGTCGCCCATCCAAACAGATTACATAATCCTCTCCTAGTCAAGTTCACGGTGCGTTGCAGGTTGCGACTGATGACATCAGCAGTCATTCAAGCCAAAAAAAAAAAAATGCGAGAGTTTCTCATTAACTATTTAATCACGAATGATATGAACTTCGCGACGGATATTTTATGCCAAGGTCTTTGGCTGAAACAGTCCGAGGCTGACGATGCAACGGAAATAATTACACGTCACGTCATAATAAATAATCTAAATTGCTCATAACTTTCCAGAAAGTCTAGCCATCCATTCACTTCTAAATAAAAAAAAATATCTCGACTCAGATATTCGACAACAATCGACAACGATCGGACATGCGCTAAAAATATGAATCGACTCTGGCGCCTTGAGGAGTGCAACTCCCCCGTCAACACTAGAACTAAATTATTTTTAGAAAATTTTTTCAATCATCCGTAATGAATAAAAACTGAGTAAGTTCTCAGTCCGACGATAGCACGCGTTGAACCGTTACCAAAATCATTTCTGATCGTCAGGCATCACCAAACAGCTTCTCCGTCGGTTAAAATCCGTGAAATTTCCCCGCAGCATTTGACTACCGACTCCTTCCACCAGTGCATCTAGTTTTATTGTAACATCAGCATATCGTCGCGTCATGATTCTCTTTTTATTTCTCTCGTCGTAAGCACTTGCTATCGCAACAGTTAGAGAACTACCTGTAGCGCACAATAGTGTTCATCGTAGTCCGTAGTGATACGACATTGCGGTTTACCCAAGTGTTTTCTGTTTAAAAATTGACATGCCACGTGTCCCGATTGATAACCCGAGTGATTCGAGATATTTCAAATATTCGGGATGAGTTAGGGGAGAGTGAAGTTTGAATAATCGATAATGATCGATAGAAAATTTAAATCGTTATCGAGAGAGTCTCCGCGATGTCGATGATAAGGATGTTAGGATGTTCACAGTAACGTATCTCCTGTCGTTGCTGTTTCAGCGTGCTCTACAAGAGCAACGACCACTCCGTACATTTCGTACTGAGTTTAATATCTACGAAAGTACAACGAGTGAGGAACGCTACACCTCCACTACCACCCACTACACCCAATCGCAGTAAGTAATCGCATCTCGATTCAAAATCAAGCCTCAAAAAATTAATTTAATCAATTTCTGTTGATCCAATCAATTTATTGAATTTCTGTTGATTCAAGTCAATTTTCAGACTTGACTCGACTAATTAAATTCCATTCGAATCAAATGATTTTTTCATATAAACTTGAAAAATCATCAAAAAATCATAAACCTTGACTCAAATAAAAAATCAAGCAAAGGAAAAAAAATCGTTTGTCTAAGCCGATACCTCTCGATTGGGTATACAAAAAAAAAACTCCTCGTTGACTTGATTCAGGTACTCAACAGAGCGTCATGAAACGTCGGCGACGATCTCGAGTGAGATCCAGCGTGTGTCGTCGAGAGAGTCGTCACCCCTGAAGAGACCGTACGTTAGTAACGAGAGTGGTCACTCCACCGCGAATGGTGATAAGACGTTGGAATCAGATATCGACGGTAGTCGTCTTGATAAAAATAGCAGTATGCAATTTAGAGAGATAAGAAGTTTGAAGAGAGTAAACAGATCAGAGCACACTAGTGATACAGACAACATAATAGAGGATAGGGGTATCGTCCATCCAGTGACGGGTGATGTATTGACAGTGGGTGAAGCGATAAGTCTGAGGATACTGGATGTTAGGAATGGTAGGATAGCAACGTCCATCGATGGAAAAACGAGTGTCTCGATCGAAGAGGCAGCACGTTTAAATCTCATCGATGTTGATCTAGCTCATCGCTTGTTAGGACCATGCGGTGTCATCGAGAATGGCCGAAGATTATCACTCCTAGCTGCCATTCAGCGTGAATTATTTGATGCTGAGCGTGGTGATGATAGAGTCAAGGTAACGTGTGTATCAACAGGTGTTAGCGTTGCAGATGCGATGAAACAGGGATTACTTGATCCAGAGACGGGACTATTTGTTAATGATAGTGGTGAGAGAATGACTATTGAGGTGGCTTACAATCGTGGATATCTTGTGAGAATAAGTACAAGCGTTAAGATAAAGCGCGGTGCACTTGCACTTTCCGATGCCATTGGTCAGGGTCTCGTTGATGAACGTACGGGTCAAATTATCGATAGAAATACTGGTGATTGTTATTTTATTGATGAGGCTGTTCAGAGGGGTGTCATTGATCCTGATATTCGAGAGATTGTTGATGTTAAAAATGATGTTAAAATAACAACAGCTGAGGCTATGGGTTTTGGTATCATTAATCCAAAGAGTGGAAGATATATTCATGGAATAACAATGGAGAAATTGTCATTCAAAGAGGCTAGGAGACGGCAACTTATCGTTAAACCAATGACGCTCAAAGATTGTTGTGATTTAGAGATTATTGATGACCGAGGAAAAATTTCAAGTCCTGCGCACAAACACAAATTGGGGATTCTCGAAGCTGTTACTGCTGGGGTTTTAGATTCTGATAATGTTAAATCCGTTTCGGATACTAGAACTGGAGAATTACTCACGCTCTCCGATGCTTTAGCCAGTGGAATAATTCTAGCAAATAGTAGGTACATAGATCCGAAAAGTAATGAGAGTCTCTCGATTCCTGAAGCTGTCGATAAGGGACTGATTACTTCAGTTGCCCAGAAATCAATATTCGATATCGATGGGTTCAAGGATCCCGTGTCCGGGGAATTTATCAGTCTTAACACAGCTTTGCTGAAGGGTTTGATTAGTCCGAAATCGGGAGGTTCTTTTGTGGTTGATTTGACGACTGGTAGAACGGTTTCCTTTGGTGATGCTAGGGATTTGGGTCACGCTCGTCCAGAAGTCATGGAGATGCTGGACAGAGGGATAGGGATTACGGAGAATGGTCGAGAGGTCAGTGTACTCGAGGCTGTATTATTGAATTTATTGGATCCAAAATCGGGACAGATTTTGGACCCGAGAACGAGTAAGCCAGTGCCTTTGGAGGAAGCGATACGACGAGGTTTGATAACACCTGATGGTGCTGCTCTTCTCGCTAGTCTTCTGAACATAACGGTTACCACTCAGACTGTTACCAAGACGATAAAGAAGTACGTCACTGTGACGAAGACTGGTGAGACTGTAGTGAAGGATTATAAAATTTCTTATAAAGAGGCAGTGAACAGGGGCCTGATTGATGAAGGGACTGGGGAGTTCACGGATCCGGAGAGTGGCAGGCGAATTGATGTTCAGAATGCCATTGATGAGCATCTGCTGAGTGCCCCTGATGTCAGGGAGGTCGAGAGACCCTCACCCAAGAAAACCAAGGATTCACCGTCTAAACAGATGACCTTCGAGAGCACTCTCTATGCTAGAGTTGGTGACCCGTTGATTCAGCGTCCTGCTTCACCTCCCAGAGCTATTGGAACTACAACTTCTATTATTAGTCATGAATTTGTACAGCCTAGTCATGAAGTTATCAGTAGCGCGGCTAATGTTTCTTCAACTGAAGTTAAAACTTCTTCTAACATCTCTCGACATCATTCGCGGTCTAGGAGTCCTTCTCCTGTTAAACATATTACTACAGTTGTTGTTAGTCCGGATTATGAGGAAGATGAGCGTTTTGGGGGTGAACGGTGTGAAATGGAAAAAACAACGAGTGTTATCAGAGAGGTTGAGACAGTTATACAGAGGGAATGCAATTCCATGGAGAAGAAAGTATTTGAATTGCCTTCTGAGGGTTGGATGCTCGGTGATGCTATCAAGCAGAGATTGTTCGATCCTGTGACAGGACTCTTTATCATTCCCGGGACAGATAGACTTGTTTCATTCGAAGAGTGCGTTAAACTTGAAATTATAAATCCTGAATCAGCGGTTGTTGTTGATCCGAATAATGGTAGGAAGATTTCGTTGCTTAGGAGTTTAGAGAAGAATATTTTAGATTCAACCGGGCATTACACGCATCCTAACAGAATTTCAATGAAGGAGGCGATTATCAAGGGGTTTGTGATTTTAGATGAGAAAACGACAGACATCGAAGTCAATAGCTCTCGACTCATTGAAATTACGAAAGTTTTAGGAAGACCGGATAAAGTTGAAGTGAGTGGTGTCGAGTTGATTTCTGAATCACAATTAACGTCTGATCCTGTTCAGGTAACTCAGGGTGTTATTTACGATCCTGAAACAGCTCTGGTTATTTTTACTGAGAGCGGAAAGTCAGCTGATATTTTATCAGCGGTTGATGAAGGTGCCTTACAACCTGAAGCTGTTGTAGTTAAAGATCCTCAAACAGGTAGGGAAATTGGTCTCAGTGACGCGGTTGATAAGAAAATTGTGGATCCACAAACTGGTGCTTATGTTGACAATACTGGACGGAAAATTTCACTGGCAGATGCTGCCAAATTTGGTTTGATAGCTGTTGTTGGAACACCACTGGTAGCAGCTGCTGCAGCTGTGGAGGCTGTGAAGAAAGCCATGATCAAGGATCCTAAAACTGGAGAGATCATTCCCAGAGAAGTGGCTATTGAACGCGGTCTAGTCACTCCTGATCAAATAACAAGTCATTCCGAGACCTCAATTAGTGTTAAAGACATACCAGCCGGAGAAAGAACGTCCGCTTTTGAGAAAGGACTTGTCACACCAGTGAAAATCAATGAAAAAATGACCGAGGCGGAGCCAACAGTCTCGGTGAAGTTCACCGGGCCTTCGGAAGAACCCCTCCAGGAAGCGGGATCACCTTCAGAGACTCCACGAGAAAATGTCGCGGAATCAAATCACACGGTGACTGTAGGGAAAACTAAAGTCATTTCGACTCACGAAGAAACATCCATAATCCTTCAAAAAATGAGAAAACGAATTGTCGAACCCCAGGAAGCCCTAGACTCTGGATTAATTAATGAAGAAACTGCAAAAATATTGGAACCAGTGATAGCCGCCGGCGGATCTTTACGGAAAGCTATTGAAAGTAAAATGATTGATTCAAAGACTGGAAAGATCATAGACCCTCAGCGAGGGGATGTCTTGTCCATCGGAGAAGCTCTGGACCGAGGAATTTTAGACTCAGAAAGCGGAAATATTTTGGTGCCCCTAGCAAAAAGCTTATCAGTCCCTGGGCTTTATAATCAAGGGCTCCTGGATCCTCACGATGGCACAGTGATTCATCCGGAAACAGGACAGCCTCTCACACTGAATGAAGCAATCGTCTGTGAAATTGTTGATCCACTGTCTCAATTGGTTCATGACGATGGAGAACACATTTCGATAGAGTCAGCCATTGCAAGGAACATCATTGATCCTGATAAATCTATTATCCATACCGATGTAGGGGACATCAATCTTGTCGAGGCTGCGGAGCAGAATAGATTCGATGCAGCTGAATCCACCAGTCCTTTAGCATTACCACCTGTGGGAATGACATTCCCTGTTGCTGTAAAACGTTGCGTGATAGATTCGTCGAGGCAACAAGTGACACATCCAATAAGGGGTGATCAATGGCCCGTAAATCAGGCGATCGACGAGAACTTCATCATGACTGTTCCGTATCCAGCTGCACCTGATTGTATTGAAGTAAGAAAAGCTCTCGAGGCTGGTCTCATTGACGATGATAAGGGTGTTTTCATTCATCCAGAAACTGGCAACGAACTTCCCATAGCAGAAGCCTTCGAATCCGGAGTATTAATTTTGAAACCGAATCCTGAAGATGACAGTGTCATGAGTGCTGTCAAAGAAACGATCACATCGTATCACACAATTACTACCAAAACTATTCAAGTGCAGCCTGGGTATTCTCTGCTCAATGCCAGTGAGATTCAGAACATAAAAACTGGGGAGATCATCCCGATGAAGGAGGCACGGAGTCTGGGGATTGTCAAGGATGAATCTGAGAAACAAGAGGAATTCACAACCAAGGACATAAAAATGACGTTCAGTGATGCTGTTGAGAAAGGTTTAGTTGATCTGGATGCTGGAGTATTTACAATTCCAGAAACTGGTGAGGTTATTCCAATTGCAAAGGCTATTGAAGATGGATTGCTTGATACATCTCAGGGTTCTGTTCCTGACTCATTGAAGAAAGGACAGTGTCCTAGTCTGACAGTTCTCGAAGCTGTTGATCAAATTTATGACGAAAAAACTGAGAGGTTCGTCGATCCAGCGACTAATAAATCTTACAATCTCACAGAAGCTATCGACGTGGGTCTAATTGAACCAGATTCTGTGGTTTATGATGTTAAATCTGGTGCTCCAGTGACAACCAAGGAAGCGATTGAGAGAGGAATTCTCGATGCCAAGACTGGAAAAGTCAAAGACGGAAAGGGAAGATCGATGTCTGTAGCTGAGGCAGCGAAGCTGGGACTACTAGCTGTTGTTGCTGCTCCAGTTCTTGCAGGAAAAGTTGTCGTCGATGCAATTAAAAACAGGAAGACGACTGATAGGCGGCCAACGATGTCGCCCGTTCAAGAGGCAAGTCCAATTCATCAGCAACAACCTATTGATAAATCGGCTATCCAAGGGGAACCAAAACTCACGACAGTCAGTGAGAAATTCATCCAAGCAGAGCAGATTTCCACGAAAGAATGGGAGCCGATTCAGACTACCTTGGCAGAAGCTATAGATAACGATTTAATTGACCCTGAGAATTGCAGGATAATAATCGCCCAAAGGGAATCACCACTGAGTGTTCATGAGGCTCTCCAGCGACAAGAAGTTCGTCTGAATGAACAGATAATCGTCATCAATCCGACTGCAATTTCTCTACTTGAAGAACGACCGAAATTCAAAATCGAAATCACTCGATTCTTAACACCGGAATATTTATCTGAACAAGGTGTGTACGACTTGAATGCAGATAAATTCTCAAATCCGTATACAGGATATCCAATAAGCTTCCAAGATTTTGTACTTGATTTAGAAATTTTTGATCCGGACAATGTCTACGTGAAGGATTTATCAAGCAAGACTGATTCGTATGTGTCTCTTCGTGAAGCAGTTAATCGTCCATTAGTAGATAGGAATCTTGGGAATATGGTCGATCCGAAGACCGGTAAGAAGATACCGTTCTTGGAAGCTACCAAGCAAGGATTGATCTTCCAGCGAAATCCTATGAACGAAGACGAGATGTTATCATTAACGCTGCAAGAAGCCATCGAGTCTGGAATATGTGATTCGATCGCTGGTACACTGCACGACCCACGTTCTGGTGAACAATTGTCACTCGTTGATGCAGTGGATACAGGTCTGATTGATGCGGACTCCATCAGCATCCGAAATCCGGTGAACGACGAGATCGTAACACTCGTTGAAGCGGTTGATTCCGGTATCGTCGATTTGACTCGTGGAGTTATCGTCAACGTAGAAATGGGAACCGAGATAGATCTGAAGATGGGATTTACGAAGGGTCTGATAGTGCCTGCTCTACGTAAACCAATTTCTCTCGAGGCAGTTATAAAAAAGGGCCTCTACGAGCCGGAGTCTGGACAAATTCAAGACCCAATGACGAAACAATCGATAGATATCGATGAGGGAGTGAGAAGAGGAATAATCGATGCCTTCATAACCGAGTGCCAGGACACCAAAGCTGGCTCATTCCTCTCATTAGACGATGCATTGTCAGTGAAACTAATCAATCCAAAGACTGGAAGACTGCGTGATACTAAAGCCGGTGAGTTGCTTCCGCTCGACGTAGCTCTTGGTAAAAATCTGATAATAACAATGCCATTTGTGCCTTCACTGATTGATGTTATCGTGCAAGAATACTACTCCCCGAGGACAGGTCTCGTTCTCAACCCCATGACTGGAGAAGAGATCACGGTTAAAGAGGCGTTGACAACTGGTTTTGTCGATGGACGAATGATTGTTGTGAAGGACGAGAAGAAAGATAGAGTCGTGCCTCTTCAAGAAGCCGGAAAATCTGGGCTCGTGGATCTCGACAAGGGAGTGCTCATCCATCCTCATCCGATGATGCTGGATCAGGCACTTGAAAAGGGTTTTATTCTGAGTACAATGAAGCCGTGGACTCTTCAAGAAGCTCTAGCCCATCAAGTCTACTCTCCGACTAGTGGAATGTTAACCATCGAGGGTGAACGATTAACCTTGGAACAGGCGATCGCAAAGGGTTTTATCAGTCCCGACAGTCCATCCGTAAAAGATCCCAGGACAGGAGATGTAATTTCTCTCCATGACGCAATTAAACTCGGATTAATCGATCCCAAATCGGGTACAGCGCTAGATCCATCCACTGGTACAGCTTTATCATTGATTGACGCAATTGACCGAGGTCTTGTTGTTCCCGCGAAGCGAAAAATTTCGTTGCCCGAAGCCATCTTCAAGGGCTTCTACGATCCCAAGACCGGGCAATTTACCAGTTTTGATACGAAGGAGAAACTTCCGACGGATCGGGCAATCAAAGAAGGCGTCATTGATCCGACTTCAGCAATTGTTAAAGACGCGAATGGTGAAGTGATTACCTTTTGCAAAGCCATCGCGACGAAAATCATTGATCCAAAGAGCGGAATGATAACCACAGAAGAAGGAAAGTCATTGGACTTCCAAGAGGCATTCGAGCAAGGAGTTCTTGTCGAGGCCAGAAGACCAATGAGCTTCAGCGAGGCTGTCCTCAAGGGTGTTCTTGATACCAAGACAAATCTATTCTTGGATCCAAAAACCGGTGCCTACTTAACAATAGCTCAAGCCATCGATCGAAATCTGATCGACGCTGGTTCGGTATTTGTCCGAGATAGCAACGTCGGGCTTTCTCAGAAAACAAGTCTCCCTGATGCCATAAAAACTGGACTCATTGATGGGAGCTCTGGCCGAGTTAAAGACGTAACCAGAAACAACCAAGAGGTCTCTCTCATGGAAGCCTACGAACTCGGTCTGATTATCGACAACAAAGCACCGATATCCGTGCAACGAGCGATTCATCAGGGCCTGTACGACGACAAGACCGGTAAAATCATCGATCCAAGCACAGGTCGCGCAATAAGTCTCCACGAGTCTATGCGAATGGGTATCATCAATCCCAAATTGGTGTGCTATTGGGACAAACGAGAAGAGTCTTTGCTGTCCCTCGCTGAGTCCTGCAGAGCGGGAATGATAGACAGACGCTCTGGTATGTTTAAAGAATCAGGTGCTAATTTCCCAATTCCTCTGTCGCTAGCTCTCCAATTAGGTTTGATAGTCGATATTGAGAGCACAGGTTTCAGTTTGTATGAGGCGGTCCACATGAAAATGTACGATGTACCGTCTGGGAAGTTTGTCCATCCTTCGAGTAACAAGCGACTCACGCTGTCCGAATCGTGTCAGGTAGAGCTGATCAATCCCCTCATCTCCATTGTTAAAAACACACAAACCAATCGATACATTCCTCTGGCCGAAGCCGTCTCCTTGGGTATTGTCGATGATATTCGTGGAACATACACCGTTGTTGAGATCGGTAAAGTCATGGATCTGAAAGAGGCTAAAGAGAAAGGCTACATCGTTCCGTCCCACAAACCTCTGTCAATCGAGGAGGCAGTGAAATGCGGATTGTACCGGGGAGAGAGTGGTAAATTCGTGAATCCTTCAGCTAATGAATTCCAGGATTTAGGTCAGGCTCTCAATTCGGGTCTTCTCGATCCGGATACAGCTGCTCTGAAGGACGCCACTTCAGGGCAGATCAAATCGCTGCAGGAAGGTATCGCTGATGGAACGGTTGATCCTTCAAAGGGACAAATTCTTGATCGCAAGACCACACGCTCGTACAATATAGATATTGCTTTAGAAAGGGGATTGCTAGTGAATATTGATAAACCCGTAACTCGGCAAACCGAGCGAAAGACATCGGTCGAGCTTCAGAAATCGGGAGTCAGTGGTAAAGGCATTAGAGAATGTAGTATTGATGAGGCCCTGCGGTATGAGCTTCTAGATCCCTCGACAGCATTAGTTAAAGACCCGCGAAGTGGAAAATTCATATCTTTGAGTGAAGCATTAAAACACGAAGTTGTCGATCCTTCGAAGAAGGGATCGTTCGAGCCCCAAATTGGAAAGGTACCCCAGCAATCGATTCGTTTCGGAGACGTTATCGTTTACCTGGCCGAGCCATTGAGCTTGGATATAGCCGTGGAGAAGGGACATCTGATCCTTGAGACAGGAAAATTGACAGATCCAAAATCAAAGGAGGAATTGACTCTCAAAGAGGCAGTGACTCTTGGGATAATTGATCCAGACTCGGCATTGATTAAAGACGTTCAGAAGAAAAAATTAGTTAAACTACCCGAGGCATTCAGAAAGGGAATGATGGATGGCGAAAAGGGCAATGTTTTGGACACTGAAACATCAAAATTGTATACACTGAAAAAAGCCATTGAGAGTGGCTTGTTGACAACCCAAAAACGTGGAATACCGTTTATCGAGACCCTGCAATTTGGCCTTTACAATTCCACAACCGGCGGTTTCAATGATCCATTTATGATAACATCCGTGCTAGATCGTAAACATTTGACACTGAGTGACGCGTTAGAATCCGGCTTGATTGATCCCTCCACAACCGTTATTAAAGATCCCGTTAATGGAAATATATCGAGCCTACTTGAAGCCATAAATGAAGATAAAGTAGACCCAATTGCTGGACGATTGCTAAGTGATCCTGATGAGAAAGAGATTGACTTTGTGAAAGCCTTGGAAAGGGGTTACATACTCGCAGCTGAGGCGAGGGTAAGTCCACCTTTTAATCCCCACCATTGTTATCTAATAGCTTGTCAAAGCAGGTTACGGATTTTTTTCTGCATTTTTATGATTTTGCTTCAAAATTACATGATTTTTTACCCTGACACTATGACACTAAAGGGCCCATCATTTCTTTGTTGAGAAAGATATTTAATCATCATTGATGAGCTTGGTGGCATGGTCCTTGCATGGACCTACGGATTTTCGTTGGCATGATAAGCTCGATCAGGATCATCGGCTTCCGGAATTTTTATTCAAGAGACCAGACACTCTCTCTTATCCTCCAGAAACCATATCCCATGCGAAACCATATCCCATGCGGATGGAAGCTTGTTAATTGTTTTTTTTTTGTCATGTTTTGTTAGTGTGATCCCATTTTACACAATACTCACATCAATTGGTGAAAAATTCCCACTGAATTCCGCAAGAGACTGGATTAACTGGAATCAATCCGTAAAACTCAATTTTTTATGTAAAAAAAAAATCCAAACAATCAAATCGTTTTTTGAAAATATTAGAAATTCCATTTTTTTTTCCAGAACTTCTTCGATGTTGAATCACGATTAATGGAATAATTAGAGGTAATGGATTTGTGATGACAAAATTCCTTGCGAATTCAGTGGAAATTTTTGACCGGTGCCCTTATGCCTGATCATCTCACTGTGGGGACTTGAGTGTAAATGATGTATCCATTAAAGAATGACCCTCCCATGAGCCCTTGACACTAACCATTACGAATCAATGATCATTGTCTATGTCGCGGTTGTTGGCGAATTGACAAGTCGACTCAATGGACCATTTCATCATGTATCATAACAAAATATTCCACATCGCTTCCACGAGAATTCATTCATTAAGAGATCAAATATTATGATTTATCGCATCAGCAACGCTAATTCGGCCTTTTCACATTACAGCTGGTACATAGTTAAATTATGTTTAATTACTTTTAATTATTTGAGAATGTCTCCCTCATCCCTTCTGTAAAGTATTCGCTTTGATTTAGTCCTTAGTTATCGAATTACCTCATTTAATCTGTTTCAAGTTAAGAAGGCCAAGTTAGTCTCAAACATCTTCACACAGGGAATAAGTTAAACATCTCAAGATTTATTTTAATTGATTTTAATATAATTACATGAATTTCACGATTTTTTAACAACGTGATCTATAAACTAGTTTCTAATATATTCATTAACACAAGTGTTAATTAATTGATATTCTATTTTTATTTGGTTGATAATTCTGATTGTTTTTCTACAACTTGTTTACTGTTTCCAGGTATTTTACATCTCTATTCCTCTATTTTCTACAATTTTATCATTTCGATTTGTCGATTACGTCTCATATCAGTGCATTATTTCATAGCAATTACACTATCATGATTGTGCGTTTTAATTTATTTGCTTGATAAATAAATATCCCGCCAGAGTGGAGCGTGGCGAGACACAGCAGTTGCTTTGATACTGCATTAAATTATAAAAATCACAACGAATGCAGCTCTCGCAGATAAATTAAAGCTACCCAAAGATACTGTACTATTATAATTTACTTTATAAATCTATATGTATGATCTGTTTGTGCGTGTTTGTGCTTGCATGTATGAGTTATGCCATAGGCTCATGAAAAATTCCTAATTCGTGATAAGAAAAATATTGCCATTGGTGAGATGGCGATGATTTCTGAGAACTAACTCCAAATTCCCCTAGACAATTACCAGTGATTAACGCTATCAATCCCAATCTCTGTAGCAAGCGGTTAAGGAGAAGTATAAGGTGTGCGATGAGACACTGACAAAGCTCTTGCAATGGATTTCGGATGTGGAGGACAAACTGGCACATCAGGATGTTGTCAGGGAAGATATTGAAGAGCTCAGGAATCAGATCAACGTCATGAAGCAGATCAAGGAGGATATCGAGGTTCACAACCGTCCAGTCTCCTCCGTTCTTGACCAAATACGTCAGGTCGTCATCACCGGGAGTGACGTTTTGTCCAGCGACGAAGTGTCGACTCTCGAGAAAAATGGCAGATCCCTGAAAACTCGTTACGAGCGATCAGCCGATCGTACTGAACGATTGCTGCGTCGTTTGGCAGGAGCTAGAGATGAACTAACTAAATTCAAGAATGAGATATCATCCTTCTCGTCTTGGCTGGACAAGGCTCGCCGAGTTCTGGAGGACAAGGAGCGCTCTCTGTCTGATCTCAATCGATTGAGTTCCAGCGCAGATACAACTCGTGATTTTATCAGTGACGTGATAGCTCATCAGGCTGATCTTCGTTTTATCACGATGGCAGCGCAGAAGTTTGTGGACGAGAGCAGGGAATATCTCCAGGTACTCAACGACTTCAGAACAAGTCTGCCACAACGTCTATCTCATAAAGAGCCAACGGCCAGTCAGGACTCACCAGTTCGTAATGAAGTGACAATTGTCACTGCTCAGTACAAGGATCTACTGTCACGTGCTACCAATTTATCTGACCGATTACTGGGTGTTGGTGGACGACAGCGTGATTATCATGAGTCCCTGGAGAAGGCGAAGGAGTGGCTGAAGGAGGTTGAGCCAAGAGTGTTGAGAGTTATCGCTGAAGCTGTTGCTGCTGAGCCAAAGCAAGTAGAGGAGCAGTTGTCGACAGCCAAATCTCTGAACAACGAGCTTCTGGCGAACGCTCGACTCATTGACAATGCTAAATCGAGTCTTGATAGTCTTCTGAGATCTCTGGATGGACAGCTAACACCGAGTGAAGCTAGTCACCTCGAGGAACCCGTTAAGATCCTTGAGGACAAGTACAGACAGCTGTCCAATGCTCTTGCTGAGAAGTGCCAGGAGCTAGATACAGCTCTGGTTCAGAGTCAGGGGGTTCAGGACGCCCTGGATAGCCTCGTCGCCTGGTTGAACAACGTTGAAAGCCAATTCAAGAACATGCAGCGTCCAGCTAGCCTCAATAAGGATCGCCTCGAAGAACAACAGAGAGAGCAGCGAATGCTGCAGTCTGATTTAGACAGTCATCGACCTAGTGTCGAGGCCATAACAGCATCTGCTCAGGATTTACTGATAAATTCGAGTAATGCTCGCGTTGCCAAACGAATCGAGAGTAAGCTGAAGGACGTACAGAATCGATACGAAAAACTTATGGACAAGTCACTCCGGAGGGGTGAATTCCTCGAGGAAATAGCACAAGCGCTGCACGACTTCTCCAGAGAAACTTCTCAGTTTGACACTTGGTACTCACACATGATCGAGATCCTTGAGTCCAGGGAACTGTCGAAACTCGATGTCAGTGAGTACGAGAGCAAGATGGCTCAGTTAGTAGATAAACGTGAAGACCAGAGAGGCAACTTCGAGGAGCTCATCAGAAATGGAAAGAATCTCGTTGGAAAGAAGGATATCACTGATGCTGCACATATTCGAGACAAGATCAAGGCAATTGAGACTCAGTGGAGAGAGCTGAATAATCTTCTTGATGAGAAACAGCGTCTCAGTAAGTCCAGGGCGGAACAGCTGACTGCTTACGAGAAGCTCAGGGATCAGGTTCTGGATTGGCTCACAAGAACTGAGAGCAGGGTGATTAGGTTGCAGCCTGTTGCTGTTGATCTTGAAAAACTGAAGGTGCAGACCGAAGAGATCAAGCCTATTCAGAAGGAGTATCGAGATTATGGGAATACCATTGACAAGGTCAACGATTTGGGAATTGTTTATGACAGCCTTCTGAAGGAACGTGGCGAGAGCCCACCAAGACGTCGTGGCAGCGCAAGTCCCACCAAGAGGACCACCATCAGCAGTCCACGTATGTATAATTAAACTTTAATCAATGAGACTTACAGAAATCCCACGTTAAACACATATCATCGAATTCCCTCATTACTCCACACTGCTTTATCACTTTCAGCACATGATTTTTTTTTTTGTCAATTTTTTTTGTAGTCCGCCGAACCTCACAAGACGGTCGCTCACCTTCCCCCACTAAGTCGTACGCGGTTCAAAGTCCAGTGTCTCCAGGTGGTAGCAGTGGATTCAGCAGCAGGCGATCCAGTCAGGATGGCTTCCATCTTGAGGAGCTGTCGGCGGTCCAGCAGCAGTTGTCGGAGATTAATAATCGGTACGGATTGCTGGGGGTCAGGCTGTCCGATCGTCAGTCCGAACTCGATGTAATCAGGGATGAGATTAAGAAATTGCTGGAGAACTTGAAGAATTTGTCGCAATTTTTGGATAAGATCGAGCGTCAACTTCCTAAGGAAATAATTCCCTCGACAAAGGAGGAGGCGGACAAGACTGTGAAACAAATCAAGCTGATCGTCGAAGAGATGTACGAGAAGCAGTCCCTCCTGGACAGTACAAAAACCCAAGTCCGTGACATAGTGCGTCGCAAGAAAGATGCGGAGGGTGCAGATAGATTGAACGACGAACTGGAGGACGTGGCGAGTCGTTGGAAGTCGATCTCAGATCGTTGCAAGGACAGAGTAAGATTCCTGGAAGATATCAAGGAGTTCCACGATGGTTACGAGAGCCTGAACTCCTGGTTAGGAGCCAAGGAAAGAATGCTCGGTGCCTTGGGACCGATCTCATCCGATCCCAGGATGGTTGCTAGTCAGGTACAGCAGGTACAGGTTCTTCGTGAAGAATTCAGAACTCAACAGCCCCAACTGGATCATCTAGTGCAAGTGGGTGAGAGCGTGTGTACACATCTGTCCAGTGATTCTGTGGATGGTCAAAAAATTCGTAGTAAATTGAACAGCATTCTGCAACGCTGGCACGAGCAAGTGGAGCGCCTGGACGATCGTGCTCAGAGTCTGGGTGATGCTGTGGACACCAGCAGAGAATTCGACGCCAGCCTGAATCGTCTTCGTGACGCCCTGCAAGGAATATCCGACAATCTCGATGATTTGCCACTGGACAAGGACCCTGAGGAGCAGCTGAGGAAAATCGAGAACTTGGAACGCCAGCTGGAGGGCCAGAGGCCTCTTCTCGCGGACGCTGAAGCTGCTGGTGCACAATTATGCGAAGTACTGAGTGATCCTGCATCTAGATCTGAAATTCAGGGCAAACTTGCAGCCGTTGGAAAACTGTACACGAATCTGCAGAAGAAATTGGATCACAGGAAAGCTGAGCTCGAAGGAAGTCTCCGCGACGGTAGACAGTTCGAGGCATCTTGCAGTAAAACTCTTGGTTGGCTTGCTGATGAGCTTGGAAATATGTCCGAGAAGCTGTTGGTGTCCGCTGACAGGGAGATACTGCAGCAACAGCTCGATCATCATGAGCCTATTTATAGAAATGTCATGGGTAAGGAGCACGAGGTGATTATGCTCTTGAATAAGGGTAAGGATATCCTCATGAGGGCTCCCAAAACTGAGAACCGAGGGCTACAGAGGGATTTGGATAAGATGCAGAGCCAGTGGGATCGTCTCAAGAAGGACACTCTGGATCGACACACGAAACTCCAGACTTGTGCTGAACACTGCAAAAAGTATTACAGGGCTCAGGACTCGTTCCTTCCATGGTTGAGGCAGGCCGAGGATAAACTCGATGGCTTGAAGCCTGCGTCATTCAAGAGGAAAGATATTGAGAGACAGCTCAAAGAATTATCATCGTTCAGAAATGAGGTGTGGAAACGATCTGGAGAGTTTGAGAATAATAAAATGCTCGGGGAAACATTCCTCGGTGCCTGCGATATTGACAAGGATGTTGTTAAGAATGAGTTGAGTGCCATGAAGACGAGATGGGACAAGTTGAATAATGGTGAGTTTAAAGTCGATTATTTCAGCTGTCAAGCGGTAAATTTATCATTAGTGATTGATTTTATTGGAAATGAATGCGAAATAAATAAATGCAAGTATTTTTTTCGTTATAATTTCAGACCTTTTGGAGCGCACTCAGTCACTCGAAGACACAGCCCGTCATTTATCAGACTTCAACGAAAATCTACGCGATCTCCAGCACGGGGTGCAGCGCTGTGAAGACAAACTGGCTTCCCACGATTCACTTGGTGGTGCCTCCAAAGATCCGAAACTTCTTGACAGAATAAAGGTATGTATCTCGGTGATAAAAAAAAAGCAGTCATTCCCTCGAAAGCAATAGTTCAAAATAAAAATAGGTTATACTATCCACTTTCAAATGGTTATCGTTACCGCCGTCGGTATCTCAGTGGACATGGTTTTTCCTGTGGTTTCCCATGCCATTCCTATGTTCTGTAGGAGAGTGAATACGGTACAGTGTAGGATTCACAGCCGCATGCATAGGGTTAAATAGGGCCAATTAGCCAGAACAGGGCAGAAAGAGCCGGAATATATAAAAAAAAAAATAGTTATTGTTCCATTTTCCGCATATCGGTTGCAAAGCTTCCATTCGGAAGCCAAAACTGGAATCTCCAAAATTTGAGATATTTCTCAAAAACAATTGATTGATATATTCCTCCAGAATCTAAGAGAAGAAACAACAGCCCTGAAGAAGCCCCTGCTTGCTGTAAAGCAGCAGGCGCACGACCTGGCGAATCGAGCCCGTGAACAAGGTGTAGACGCAACCCACCTTCAGGACGAAGTTGAAAATTTAGCCGATCGAATAAACGACCTCCAAGGAAAGCTAGATGACCGTTGCAACGATCTGCAGAGTGCAGCCACAGCAGTTGCGCAATTTAACGATCAAATCAAGGGTCTAACGTACGACCTCTCAGCACTGGAGAACGAACTCGACACGATGAAAACCCCTGGTCGAGATATTAAAACAGTACGAACACAGATCGAAGAAGTGGGAAAACTCCTGACCAAGATAAATCGTGCCTCCGACGAGATTTCAGTCCTGGTGAATACCAGTGAGAACCTGGTGGACAGTGGATTCGCAGCGGATGCTGTGGCCACTCGAGACCAGGTCGACAGTCTTAAGAGACAGCTTGCAAGACTCGAGGAACGTTCTCGCAACAGAGACGAGGAGTTGGCAGTCACTTTGAATAAGCTCCAGGAGTTCTACCACCTCCACGGTGATGTTATGGACGACATAAACGACGCGAGCGATCAGATCCGTAGGTTCAAGCCCATTGGGTCTGACATTGACTCGATAAAAGCCCAGCAGGAGGACTTCCGCACGCTGAAAGCCAGCAGGATCGAACCAATAGCTCGTGCGGTCGACGAGTGCAATCACACAGGTCAGGGTCTAGTCCAGAGTGCTGGAAGGGACGTAAATACCAGTGGAATTGAGAAGGACCTCGATAAAATGAATGAAAAGTGGAATGACTTGAAGGAGAGGCTCAATGAACGCGATCGTCGCCTGGACGTTGGTCTCCTGCAATCAGGAAAATTCCAGGAGGCTCTCGATGGTCTCGAAAAATGGTTGGCAGATACCGAAGAGATGGTGGCAAATCAGAAGCCCCCGTCCTCCGATTACAAAGTTGTAAAGGCACAGTTGCAAGAGCAGAAGTTCCTGAAGAAGATGCTGCTGGACAGACAGAACTCAATGTCCTCTTTATTCAACATGGGACAAGAAGTGGCTGCAGGGGCTGATCCCAAGGAGCGTAAAGCCATTGAAAAGCAGTTGAAGGATCTGGTGGGGAGGTTCGATGCATTGACAGAGGGTGCAGCTGAGAGGATGGACGCCCTCGAGCAGGCGATGGCAGTTGCCAAGGAGTTCCAGGAGAAACTCATGCCTCTTGCCGTCTGGCTGGACAAAACGGAGAAGAAAGTGAAGGATATGGAGCTAGTGCCAACTGATGAAGGGAAGATTCAGCAGAGGGTTGCCGAGCATGATCGGCTACACGACGATATTCTTTCGAAGAAACCGTACTTTAGTGAGCTGACGGAGGTGGCAAGTCAGCTTATGAGTCTCGTGGGCGAGGATGAGGCTTCTCTACTCGCTGATAAGCTTCAGGACGCCACTGACAGATACGGCAATCTCGTTGAGCGATCTGAAGCCCTTGGAAATCTTCTCCAGAGATCTCGACAGGGTCTGCGTCATCTCGTGTTGACGTACCAGGACCTCCAGGCATGGATGGAAAATATGGAGAAACGATTATCCAAGTACAGAATTCTTGCTGTTCACACTGAGAAGCTCCTCCAGCAGATGGAGGATTTGGCTGATTTAACCGAGGAAGTTTCTTCACGGCAGACTGAAGTCGACAGCACCACTGACTCTGGCCTCGAGCTCATGAAGCACATATCCAGTGATGAGGCGCTAGGGCTTAAAGACAAATTGGATTCACTTCAGAGAAGATTCAATGATTTAGTTACTCGTGGCTCGGACCTCCTCAAACACGCCCAGGAGGCGCTGCCGCTTGTCCAGCAATTCCATGAGAATCACAACAGACTGATGGACTGGATGCAGGGTGCTGAGGGTGCCCTGCAATCCGCTGAGCCTCGAGAGGAGGAGATCATTCGTCTTGAGATGGAAATATCAGAGTACAGGCCTGTTCTCGATAAGATCAATACAGTTGGGCCACAGTTGTGTCAGATATCTCCTGGAGAAGGTGCTGCCACAATCGAGGGACTGGTGACAAGAGACAACAGGAGATTCGATGCAATTGCAGAGCAAATTCAGAGGAAGGCCGAGAGAATTCAATTGAGTAAACAACGGTCTCTCGAAGTGATCGGTGACATCGATGAGCTTCTTGAGTGGTTCAGAGAAGTGGATACTCAACTTCGGGAAGCAGAGCCTCCGAGCAGCGAACCAGAGATCATTAGGGTGCAGCTTAAGGAGCACAAAGCCCTGAATGACGACATATCGAGTCAAAAGGGACGAGTTCGTGATGTCATTTCAACGGCCAAAAAGGTTATTCGTGAGAATACTCATCACGAGGACACTTCAACCATTCGAGAAAAAATGGAGGACCTTCGTGAGACGATGGAGACTGTCTCTGGATTGTCAGGTGATCGTCTAGGAGCCCTCGAGCAGGCCCTACCACTGGCTGAACATCTTCGTGACACCCATGCCGGACTGGTTGGATGGCTCGAGGAGGTTGAGCACCAGGTGTCGATGCTACCAATGCCTGCACTTAGACCAGATCTCATTGCGGCTCAACAGGACAAGAACGAACTCCTTATGCAGAGCATTAATGAGCACAAGCCCCTGATAGAGAAGTTAAATAAGACAGGTGAGGCTTTGATCAGGCTCTGTAATGACGAAGAGGGGGCGAAAGTTCAGGACATTCTCGATGGTGATAATGCCCGTTATGCTGCATTGAGGGCAGAGCTCAGGGCTCGCCAACAAACCCTCGAGCAGGCCCTCCAGGAGTCCTCTCAATTCTCTGACAAACTCGAGGGAATGCTTCGAGCTCTCGGATCGACTGCTGATCAGGTCAATGGGGCAGAGCCCATATCTGCTCATCCCCCACGTCTTCGAGATCAGATGGAGGAGAATGCAGCACTCGCTGATGACTTGGCACAGAGAAACGAGGCATATGCAGCTGTGAAAAAAGCTGCTGATGATGTGATCAATAAAGCCGGCAACCGTGCAGATCCAGCTGTCAAGGATATCAAGAGGAAACTCGAAAAATTAAATAAATTGTGGGCTGAAGTGCAGAAGGCCACCACTGATCGTGGACAAACTCTCGATGACACACTGGCTGTCGCTGAGAAATTCTGGTCGGAGTTGACTGGTGTTATGTCGACACTCAGAGAACTTCAAGATGCCCTAGCTGGACAGGCACCACCTGCTGCCCAACCCGCTGCTATTCAGCAGCAGCAGGTGGCACTCCAGGAGATCAGACAGGAGATTGATCAGACGAAGCCTGATGTCGAGCAGGTGAGGCAGTCTGGGCACGAGCTCATGGGACTCTGTGGAGAGCCTGACAAACCCGAAGTCAGAAAGCACATGGAAGATTTGGATCAGGCTTGGGACAATGTCACTGCTCTTTATGCCAGGCGCGAGGAGAATCTCATTGATGCCATGGAGAAGGCCATGGAGTTCCACGAGACCCTCCAGAATCTTCTCGAGTTCCTTCAAGAGGCTGAGGACAAATTCGCCGACATGGGAGCCCTTGGCAGTGATATCGATGAAGTGAAGAAGCAGATAAAACAGCTGGCGAATTTCAAGGCTGAAGTCGATCCGCATATGGTGAAGGTCGAGGCATTGAACAGGTAAGGGATTGAAAATTTTTTATGGTGATTAGGGGTTTTTTTTTTATAGTTTCTTTGAGATAATATTAATGATATCTTTCTTTTTCGGATACCTGAAAATCGTAGGAGTCTGACGAGGCAAGTCAACTTCTCAGTGTTGTCGCTGTAGTTAGAGCATGGCTTTTTAAAGTGGACAGTTGTCGATGTTTTAAAAGAAAGGCGATTGAGATTTTAAATGAAGTCTGTTATTTAACCCGGTATTGCATTTATTGTCGATGTATGGGGCGCGCATGAATATCCGATTAGACGAATGCAGGAACTAAAGGCTGTCTAATCAGTGAGACTGATTGGATTTTTATGAACATATACTAGATTTGATTATTTCCGCTGAAACTTGCATTTATTACTGAATTTAGTGGGAGGAAAAGCGAATTTGTGTAGCTTTGGTGGATACGAGTCTCTCAGTATTTTCCCAGTCAGGACGGGATAAATTCTGTATTCCATCGGCGTTGGAAAAATTAATATATCCCACTGCGTAATCAATTCTTTTTCAATAACTGCAAAAAGTTGTTGCTTAAGTCTATAAAAAATTGACGATAATTCGTTGAATGTAGCAAGACTGATAATTATCTGTAGGTGTGATAACTCACCCGATCTCGCACCACCTCGAGATTTTCCGATTGATTGAATTAACCTCTGCAGGCAAGCAGCAGAGCTGACAGAAAGAACGACATCGGAGCAGGCAGCGGCGATAAAGGAGCCGCTGGGGGCAGTCAATCGTCGTTGGGACGGTCTTTTGCGTGGCGTTGTGGAGCGTCAGCGACTCCTGGAGAACGCTCTATTGCGATTAGGTCAATTCCAGCACGCTTTGGACGAGCTACTGGTGTGGATCGACAGAACAGATCGCACACTGGATGACTTGAGGCCAGTGGCAGGTGATCCTCAAGTGATTGAGGTGGAGCTTGCCAAGCTGAAGGTACTGGTAAACGACATCCAAGCACACCAGACTAGTGTAGACACCTTGAATGACGCTGGAAGACAACTCATTGAGGATGGAAAGGGCACAGCTGAGGCATCGACAACAGCTGAGAAATTGGGTACTCTTAATAGGAGATGGAGAGATCTTCTTCAAAGAGCTGCAGACAGACAGCGAGAGCTGGAGGACGCCCTGAGAGAGGCCCAGACATTCACCGCTGAGATTCAGGATCTGTTGTCCTGGCTTGGAGAGGTGGATAATATGATAGTGGCATCAAGACCAGTTGGAGGCCTCCCTGAAACAGCTTCAGAGCAACTCGAAAGGTTCATGGAAGTGTACAATGAGTTAGAGATGAATAGACCCAAAGTGGAGACTGTTCTGCAGCAGGGCCAGGAGTACTTGAAGAGAGCAAATGCCTCAAGTGCCAGCTCCCTGAATCACAATCTCAGGACTCTGAAGCAGAGGTGGGACAGTGTTACAGCAAGGGCCTGTGACAAGAAGATCAAACTGGAAATAGCCTTGAGGGAAGCCACTGAGTTCCACGACGCCCTCCAGGCGTTCGTCGACTGGTTAACCAATGCTGAAAAAATCCTAACCAATCTCAAACCTGTCTCGAGGGTAATGGAAACCATCCTAGGGCAGATTGAGGAGCACAAGGCCTTCCAGAAGGACGTGGGTGTCCACAGGGAGACAATGTTGAATCTTGATAAAAAGGGAACGCAACTGAAGTACTTCTCCCAAAAACAGGATGTTATTCTCATAAAAAATCTTCTTGTCTCGGTGCAGCACAGGTGGGAGAGAGTTGTGTCAAAGTCAGCTGAGAGAACTAGAGCTCTGGATCATGGGTACAAGGAGGCCAGGGAGTTCCATGACGCCTGGTCTCACTTGATGAATTGGTTGGATGAGACAGAGAGAACTCTGGATGAAATGGCGTCCGAAGGAGTTGGTGGTAATGATCCAGAGAAGATTAAATCACGGTTGAATAAACATCGGGAAGTGCAGAAAGCTCTTAGCGGTAAGCAGGGGACATACGATAATACCATGAAATCCGGAAAGACACTGAAGGATAAGGCACCTAAATCTGATGAGCCCGCACTCAAGGAGCTGCTGTCTGAGCTCAAAAGCAAGTGGACAACGGTCTGTGGAAAGAGTGTGGACCGACAGAGAAAGCTGGAGGAGGCTCTGCTGTTCTCTGGACAGTTCAAGGATGCAATTCAGGCACTCCTGGACTGGCTGCAGAAAACAGAGAAAATGCTAGCGAATCCTGGACCACTTCATGGGGATCTCGATACTGTCACAAATCTATGTGAGCAGCACAGGTCATTCCAAAGGGATTTAGAATCTCGGGCTAGTCAGATGGAGTCTGTCATCAGGACGGGAAGGGAACTCGAGTCAAAAGCAACGATTGAGGACGCCTCGACAATTAGGTCACAGTTGAGTGAAGTGAATTCTCTCTGGAATACCGTCAACAGATTATCTGATAATAAATCCTCGAGGCTGGAGGAGGCACTCAGGGATGCTGAGCGTCTCCACAAGGCTGTTCATGTTCTCCTGGAGTGGCTCAGCGATGCAGAGATGAAACTCAGATTCGCTGGACAACTGCCCGAGGACGAGCAGGAGAGCAGAAATCAACTGATGGAACACGAGAAGTTCCTCAGGGAACTCCAGCAGAAGGAGGTCGAGAAGGATCGCACTTTGGAACTCGCTCACGCCATCCTGGGGAAGTCCCATCCGGATGGCGCGGTTGTTATCAAGCACTGGATCACTATTATTCAATCCAGATGGGATGAGGTCGCGACGTGGGCGCATCAGAGAAATCAGAGACTCGAGAGCCATATGCAAGGACTTCAGGACCTTGATAATCTCCTGGAGGAGCTCCTAGCGTGGCTTGAGGGCTTGACTCATACTCTCATCACTCTTGAGTCCGAGGAACTTCCTGAGGATCGGCCGAGCCTGGAAATTCTCATTTCTGATCACAGGGAATTTATGGAAAACACCAGTCGAAGGCAGAACGAGGTGGACAGTGTGTGCAAGGCTAGACAGATTAAAACTGTCAAGGATCCCAGGAAAATGTCCAAAACCAAGTTGTCCGGTTCTGTGTACGTATTCATTTTTAATAACATAACATAATTTTTTAATTCTTTGGTCGAATGCACAATTCATCATGTACCCTGTTCGTTTTTTATTTTCACTTTATTTTTTATCCTAATGGATCATTCTCATCGTGAAAAATATTCATCATTTGTGTGCATCCCATTCACTTCTGGTTATCACGTATTTGATTGTTGCTTGACGTTTTCGTTCACCTCTGGCACCTTTTGTAAATCATTTGTCTGTTGTTGCATGTTGCCATTTCTTGTTAACCATGAAGTAGCAAGGACGGTCTGTACCAAGATACTGACGACGATCAGCCACTCCGCAAGCAGAGGTTCGTCTCGATCATTTTTTTTTGTTCTCCCCCTTTTATTATTTTTATTACTTTTTAATGAATTTTATAATTTCATTAAATACCGACAGCTCTAGAAATTTTCATCCACTCATTTTTCGTTTCGTTTCCTTTTATTTATCCAGCTTCAAGGGCAGCCGAGATCTCTTGCAATCCAGAAGGGGAAGGTAATACTCACTTGTCATTTTCTTTTTTATATTCACATCAACATTGTGCTGTACAGGGATTCATTAGAACAATTCATCACACTGGTTTTCGTTTTGTGTTTGTTTTTTGAACAGCATGCTTACTAACCCACCACACATTATTTTTTATTTGCAAAATTATTGAATTGTTATATATTTAAATATTATTAATCACTCGAATTAGGGAATCACGAGAGGAGATTAAGAAAGGGTTTATACAAGTGACGAGCTTCTTCTAATAAATATACAAATAATTGATATAATTTATCGGTACACAATACAAAAATACAAATGACACGTGAAACTATATAGATCCCATCGATAATTGCTCGATACCGATTTATAGTTGAAGTAGAGTGTTATGAGTGATTTGACGCATGTTCCTGTTTAGCCGAGCCAGTCCAGGTCGTGAGAGAACACCAGATCCCAATCTACCACACATTGGTCCACGCTTTCCACCCAAAGGAAGGTTCGTCATTGCTATCTCTATTCACTAACTATCATAGATCATAAGTTTTAATCGAGTGTTGAATGTGTGTGAGATGTACTTGAGTAACATTACGAGGATGTTGTGATTCTTGGTTCCGAGTTGGGTGAATCTGTGTTGCTTGGGAAGAAAGACTCTTATTCAGTGTAAAATACAACTCTGTTTTCTATAAACAGCTTTGTACGGGACGAGGGCTCAAAATGGATATCAGCTTTTTAAATGTTAAAACCTCATTCAATTGGTGGTGGACTGATTTTTTTTTTGTCATTCGAGTGGAATATTTGAAAAACCACTGAGATGTCCATTATGCCCGAAATTCTCTACTGTAATTTCATTTTAATAAATGAATATTTGTAGATTTAATTTGCCCCGTTAATAAAATTAATGGCATAACCGAATTGATTGGTTGTGAGTAGTAAAGGGGCTGAACCAGAATTCCGTAATCCTCGCGTGAAGCTTCTCTGGGACCGCTGGAGAAATGTGTGGATGATGGCCTGGGAGAGACAGCGTCGTCTCCAGGACAAGCTCAACTACATAGACGAGCTCGACAGAGTTAAGAACTTCAGCTGGGAGGAGTGGCGCAAGAGATTCCTCAAGTTCATGAATCACAAGAAATCGAGACTGACGGATCTCTTCAGGAAAATGGACAAGAACAATGACGGTCTCATCCCCAGGGACGATTTCATCAATGGAATAATGAACACTAAATTCGATACATCGAGACTGGAGATGAATGCTGTAGCCGATCTTTTTGATCGACATGGCGAGGGACTCATCGATTGGAAGGAATTTATTGCGGCATTGAGGCCTGATTGGGAGGAAAGGAAGACTTATAATGACACTGATAAGATCCATGATGAAGTCAAGAGACTTGTCATGCTGTGCACTTGCAGGCAGAAGTTCAGGGTCTTCCAAGTTGGGGAAGGCAAATACAGGGTGTGTACGATTAAAAATATATATTTCTCTTATTAACCCGTTATTGAATTTTTCACTGAGTAGCGATTATTCATTCATAAATATTATATTATGTATATTATCAACACGAGCCGAAGGCGAGTTTTACAATCTCACGAGTCGAAAAATATATTACGCACGCGTTTCCTACAAAATTTTGTCACCGCGCCCGGAATCCGCGATTTAACCGAGCGAAGCGAGGTTAGAATCGCGCGATTACGGGCACCGATGGCACAAAATCAAATATTTCACATTCAATTGAATCTATGAATTTGTTGATTCAAATCTTTAGAGTATTCAGATAATTCTGTACAGAATTACAGATGCTATATCAAATTCCGTACGAATAAAAGTTTTTTACCTTTTCAATTCAGTTCGGGGACAGTCAAAAACTGCGTCTCGTCCGTATTTTGCGATCAACTGTGATGGTACGAGTTGGAGGTGGATGGGTGGCCCTGGACGAGTTCCTGGTGAAGAATGATCCCTGCCGCGGTAAGTCACACAAAAAATTATAAAATAAATACAGAAACATTGAAGCGTTAACGCGTCGTGAGAAGAGCATCAGGAATATTTAAAATTCTAGGGAATTATTCATAAACGCAACGAATGATTTCATAGTCCATTCATTTAAAGTGACAACAATTTTAGGATCATGTTCGATAAAACACTTAATGAAATTCATTTCACGTACTGCTAACCCAGCGATAGGAAAGTCAAACAAACTTAACGATTATTTAACGATGAATAACTGTACAGCAGGCAAACACGAGTGTCTAACGAATTGTCAAATGAATATGATGCACGGGGCTATCGATTAATAATTAATAATATTAATAATAACCATCCAACGCGATCTCAACTCCTGAGGTAACAAAAACCGTTTGAAACGATTAATTGTTCACATTAAACTATCGAAAAAGAATGAATCGACAGTCAATAATCTAACGTATGAGTCAGACAGGTGTGTGATTCTGCTTTGCTTAGTTGATTGCTAATTAGTCAATTATTTTCATCGGGTGGAGTGACAGGAATATCTAATCTTGTAATCCCTCACGCCTAGAGATGTGGAAAAATCTTCGAATTACAGAATTTTCTTTTCTCACACCATCAAATTCCAGTACATCTCTGAATATAAATTATTTTTTATGGAATAAAAGGAGAGCTAAAAAATAAGCATTAATGAAAATTTAACTATCTTAATTATATTCAGAGATATTGAAAAATAAAAACATAAAAAATAAAAATGAAAATAAAAATGGAAATAAAAATATAAATATAAATAGAAAAATAATAAAACTACTCGATCGATGGTATAAAAATGGTTTTCACATCTCTCGGTTAACTAATCGGTTTTTGAAATTTGAGGCAACCCCTCGATGATGCATGATTAATCATGATAACGAAATTTCGAAAGAAATAGCGAATTAATTCTCCATCATTCCTTAAGTCTTTCTAATGCCAATACCGGACCCTAACAAGCCAGAACAACACGAGGGTTGGTGTCCGCTCGGTGAGGAGGCCTCATTGCACGATCACATCGATTCATTGTCTATACTTTGTTTCCATTACTGTAGAAAAATTATAGCTCATAGTGATTTTATTCTATTTATTTTCCCTCAAGTAGAAATTTTATTTTATCCAAGAATTTATTCTTTCGTTCGATTTCGTAGTAATTATAAAGTATAGACCATGAATTAATATCATTCATCTGTGTCGCATGGAAACTGACATTGTGTAACTGTTTTTCATCTGGCTGAAGGATCCTTTGGTTTTATCACTTTCATGTTTATTTTTTCATTCGTTGTGTTGAGGATGTGTGAGAGTTTTAAATGATTGTTATCTTCAGTTGAGCTTTAGATACGAACGATCTGGTTTTGGTTCATCAAATGGTATGATTACTTGCGTGATTCCTGTGTTATTTTTATTTCATGATTACTCAATTATTTCGCATGGTGTTGGCGTTTTCGTGGATTATTTATTTTTCCCCCTGACAAATGTTTTCTATTTCATTCGTTGAGCAAATTTTTTCGTCTCATTTTGAAGAAATTGTTTATCCCACAAAAATTATGAAATCCTCATGTTTTAAATTCATTCTTCAATTAACGAATGCACTGCGATGAGTTTTTTGGAGATATCTCCGAAACTGAGGAAAATAATTAAATTTTTCACATTACCTTTTTTATGGCTGTCATTGAGCTCCACAAAAAAGGTTCCGTGAAAAATTCTCATATATCCCTCAATCTCCGAAGTATTTCCAGAAAATTGATTGAAGGATCAAAAAAATTTTCTTTTAAATAATTTCTCTACAGAATTTAAATTCCCCTTTATTCCACCGTCAATCAATCTCAAAACCCGCGATGCTCACCGCAATTCCTCGCCACTTCTTCAAAGTAAGACGAAAAAACCACCAAAAGTCCCCTGAGCCGATAAAAATAATGATAGAACCACTGGTGTGACGAATTATTTTATTCACCCCATAATGACACAATTTTTATTTACCTCATTTTTCTAATTCATCATTATCTTATCTTTTTTTTCAACACAAAAAAACCCCACACACGAACTTGCTTTAACCCCGAAAACTTCAAATTTCTTTTTAATCCCCAAATTGCATGAAATTCTGAAATGATCGAAAAAAAAAAAATTAAAATTCCACTCAATTCTCTCAAATCTCATAAATTCCTGCTCTATCCCTGTCTGTCTGAATCTGTCTCTACTCTGTCTCATTCTGCACAATTACCCGCGGCCTCTCCCCCCTCTACCCCTCCCACCAATAATTAAAAACTAAATGAACTAACTGCGTGCACGCCAACACACTGTAGCCAAAGGACGAACGAATATTGAGCTGCGGGAGCAATTCATATTGGCGGATGGTGTCAGCCAGACAATGACAGCGTTTAGATCAAAACCAAGTCCAACATCGACACTACAACGCACACCACTGTCATCAGCTGGTCCAATAACGAAGGTAACATGAAAAGTCATAGACGATCCCTTGATCATCAAGAGATGATGTCACCTTGAAATCACCCCCAAGCCCAATCCCTCCAGAGAAAAAAATTCAATAGCAAATTCAATCACTCAATTAATCTTCAATTCCTCTTCAATGATCATTAAAAAAGTAATTAAATCCGCAAAACAATTAATTAAATATTTGAATTATCAATATCCAATCATTTAAATAATTAATAATCAGTAATGCCAGCAGTAAAACATTGAATGGTAACGAATTGTTTTCATGGAATAAGATGTTACCTTTTATGATTTTACCGCAGGTGTTCGGGTTGTTAATATAGATAATTGATAATTTAATAAATTTAGGTAAGATCGATTGATTTTATTTATTGAAATGGAAATGATGGAGGGTATGGGGCCCTTTCACACACTCGCCTTGCATCCACACATTAATTATAAGCACGCAATTACCCTTTAATGAGCAACTCCAAAAGAGCCCTCGGGCTCTCACCGTTGTCGGTACGTATACGTATTACCCAATGGCAATTGGCATGCAGCATGATTCTTATCGATAAGTAGAAGACTCTGGATGGAGGCTTATCTTCTCTACATCTCGATGGTATTTCAATCTGTGTATCGTGCACTGGGTTAGTTGGATCGGTAAGGATGATGATTAGAGGACAATTGCGAAGAATTGTGATAATTAACCTCAGGAGATGTGATTTCGCTGTTTCCGTCACTTCGTCAAACGATTAGGAATTTGTTTGTTTTTTTAGATCGGTGGCTAGGCGTTTTAATGATTTTTTTACAGTTGACAAAGAATTGTTTGTGATATGCGGGCCCATGAGCGAATTATATTTAGTTTTATTGATGATTTGGTGTAGCGGAGGAGTTTATGAGCCAGCTGATGCCGATATTTGAGAGTTTGAGGCAAAAGGAGGACCTTCCGTGCTCGTATCCTCTTCACATGCACGCCCCCTCTTACCACTGGGTAAATAACAAAATTATCTCTTCAATTTGATCATTGAGTTTGTGGTGAATTTATTTATTGTTGGATTATGATTTTTTTTTCGTTGGAATTTTGCCTGGATTTTTTGAAATTGATGTCTAGTGCATGTCTTCCCATCCAAAAATATATTTTCCAAATATATCATATCTATAAAATATATTTGAATGCGTATGATAGACGAGCACTGAATGCTGAAAATATATCGACTCATTTCTCCTCGTTTGTCTGATATTTTTTAAATTTTTCTCCGTTAATTAATTGTTATTTCAATTATTTGGGTGATTTTTATTTCATTCTCATTGATTTTTTATTTCTCCGCATTTTCTCTCATCTTTATTCTCGGATAATAACTTCAGTTTGAGTGCATGGTGGTTTTTGATATTTGTAATAAGTACAATTTGTACTGAGTTAAATAGATATGAGAATAACTCCAGGAAAAAAGGCGTCGAATTGTCTGGAGGTTCGAAATACCTTTGTAGAATGTTATCTGTAAATCGACGCTTATATAGTGGCGTCTGTTGGAGATACTTCAAATTGCCATAAGCTACCGTATCTTTCCCAACTCATCCCGGTAAGTTTGCACGTATTTGTAGATAGATTCATCTTTTTTGTCGTAAACCAAAATGGAAGTCTTGACAGAACAATGAAAATAGCAGCGAAATGGTAAACGATAAAATTCAGCCCTAACAATTTTCCAGGAATATCTCTGAATCCAAGCAAAATATTGAAATTTTTGTGAGAACCTTGTTTGGTGAGGTACTGTTGAGTAGGGTGGATCGGGAAAAGTTCAGGAAAATGTGGTGATTGTGTAAAAATGCTATAACTCGCGAAATTCTCACACACAACGATTATTAATTTATTAAAA